GCCAGCGCCCAAACCTATTCCCCCCAGGACGGGCCAAGACCGCCCAGAGAGAATCGCACGGCCGCGACCAGACGGCCCCGACGCCAGTGTACAAAGGCCCAAAGACCCCCCCAAAGCTCCCAGGATGTGCCCAAGAGGCGTCCCGCGAGACCCTGCGAGGCAACAAGCAACAATGCCTGGTGCTCGCCGAGTGCTTCGGCTGAAGATGGACTCGGGAGGGCCCCTGCGAGCCCCAGGGAGCCCCCAAGACGGCCCAGGGCCACCCCGAAAGAGGACCCGAAACGACGGCCAGACCCGCCCGAGACGGCCACGCGATGGCTCGGCCGATCCCCCCCTCGCGAGAGCTCGGCAGGACCAGCGTGTCCAACATCGCCACTTTGCCCTCCAGCGGGCCCCCGGGAAAGAAAGGCCCCCCGAGGGTTTCCGAGAAGCAGCGCAACGGCCCTGCGCGCTGCAGCCGCGACGCGCTCTACAGCACCACAGCGCTGCCCCCCCTGCACGCCCGAAGAAGGCTCTCTACCGAGCCTGCTCTCGGGAGAGGTCGACACACTTATCCTGCAAGAGCTTCGATTCTCCTCCTCCTCCTCCTCCTCCTCCTCCTCCTCCTCCTCCTCCTCCTCCTCCTCCTCCTCCACCTCCCCCTCCTCCTCCTCCTCCTCCACCTCCCCCTCCTCCGCCTCTCCTCCCTGAGATGAGGGCGCTGTATTTTTTCGCACTGGCCATGTTTGCCTGGTCCTGGGCCCCAGGACCATCAGAAATCGGCCCGGCTCGACAAGCGTCGCAGCAAGATGGAGTCCAGGGCTCCAGACGTGATTGTGCGCGATGCTGACACTTGTTTCGCAACGTCGGGTCTCAGGGCTGCGCTGGCACGGTGGCAAGGTTTGCCGAAGGCAGCCAGATAATGAGCGAGGTCTTCGCGTTGCCGCCCAGCGACTCCTGCAGGACCCTGGTGAGTTTTGAGTCCCTGTAGGGCACATGTGCCTGTTTCTTGTCGGTCAGGGCGCTGATGACGTTGCCAAGGGCGGAGAGAGAGCGGTTTATGTTCTTGGCCTCGTCCAGGCGTTCACCAGACGAGCCCGTCTTGGCCACCTTCTCGCTGCCGGCGAGGTCCACCAGGTGCAGCTTGCCCACCCTCACCGAGCGATCCTGCACGTTCTTCTGCTCGATAGTCAGCGTGAAGACCAGGTGAGATCTCGACGAGTGCTCGTTCATGTTGGTCACAGCCATCGCACGATTGATCTGGCCAGTTCGCATTAGCTCGAATCCGCCACCGTGCCCTCAAGGCAAGATGCGGAGCGTCCCCATGCTAGCATAACCGTCCAATCTATAATCTCGAATATACATGGTAATCATCAAAATAGGCTTGCCCTATAGGAGTCCGAGCTCAAACCCTACTAATTGGTCCGTTGCCCCCCCCAATTCCTATGGCTTCCCCCCCAAATTCCTATGCCTATGCCTATGCCTATGCCTATGCCTATGCCTATGCCTATGCCTATGCCTATGCCTATGCCTATGCCTATGCCTATGCCTACGCCTATGCCTATGCCGGCTTGCTTGCGAGTCAACGCTGGCTGATATGAATATCGGTACGCAAGGTGATCTAAAGGGCCGCGGGCCACCCGCTCGAGCGATTTGCCAAAGTTGCTGACAAGACTGACTCCTGCAACCCAAGAACACATTTGGGAGCACTGGCGCCCCCTACAGCCCAAAAGTAGCCCCAACACCAATCGAGATAGCTTGGGCTCCAACATTGTCCAGCTTGGCACAGGAGGGCCTCAAGAATGCCCAAAGGACGCCCAATGATGTTTTCAGGACGGCTCCAAGGTGGCCGCAGATAGAGCCTCCTATGTGAGCAAGCCCCGAAGAGAAAGCGTAGTATTGATTTGGCTATTCTCGCATGTGCCAGATGGCTCCAAGACAGACCGGAGATGATTCTGGAGGGCATCACGAGGCCCCGAGACACAAGAGGGCCCCCAAGCAAACCTCTACCAGCCCCGAGACACCCTAGGAAATCCCGCCGATCCACGGGAAGACACGAATCAAGCGGTTGCTTCGGCGAATCTGACTGTGAGACGGGAGGGGTGAACAGAAGGATCGGCTGCTCTGAAATTGCGACGCGCGGCACCGACATCATATGGCGGCGAGCCCGAATTCCGTGCCATCTTTCACGGTGTATCCGCTCGACCCTGAGGAGCTCACAACGTTGACCGAATACCAGGGCCGCAAGATGAAGTCCTCGACACCAACACCCGTGCCAGTGTTACACAAGGGGGAGGCTCGACCTCTCGCCCTCCTCGTCGGAGCACGCTCGGTCCTGGTCAAGCACTCCCACGGAGCAGGGGGGAGGCACAAGGGGAGATCCACGAACGAAACCCAGGAACACAATTTGAAACACCATCTAAAAAGCCGTATCTTCTGGTCCGCAAGGCGACCCAAAGACGTCCTCAAAGGCTCACCAGACGCCCCAGAGAGGCTCCCAAGATGCCACCAGGAGCCTCGCGAGAGGCCCCGAAGAGGCCTCCAGGAAGCACCCTGGGAAGCAGCTCGACAACCATGCAGCGCTGCGGCTACGCCACGCTGCAGCACCGCAGAGCTGCTTCCACGTGTGCGGTGCCGTGTACCCGGCTGCGCCCCCGGCCACTGCTTCAGACTGCGCATTGGGAACCCGACGCCGGCCTCATCCCTCCTCCTTATAGACAGCTCCCCTCTGCCACGGATGGGGGGCGCAACGTTCTCAGCATGGGGCTCTCACCTGGGACTTCCTGGAATAGGAAGCCGTGCAACGGTGGAACGGATGCAGGGCGGCTCCTTCTCAAGGCTGGACTCTTACGCAAGCCGTCCTTATGGGGGGGCCGGTCCTTCTCGCAGCGGGGATGTCGCTGGGCGCTTCTGCAGACTTCACGAGCCGACTCGTCGCATTCCTCTTAGCTTGAAGGAGGCAGGCGGCCAGCGTCTTTCGAAACGGAGCTCTCGCGTGAATTGCGAACCCACGGGTGCTCGTCTTTCAAGGGGGGCACTTTGCACACTGAAAGATAATGCTTACAGGAGCTGATGAGGGTACATTGCAGCTTCGATCCTACATCTCGGGTTTACTCTGCGCCTCCTCCTCCTCCTCCTTCTCCTCCTCCTCCTCCTCCTCCCCGACCTCCGCATGGCTTCTACTCATTCCTTCTCGTCCTCTTGCTCCTCGTCCCGAGTCCACCTCCTCCTTTCCGTCGTTCACCTCTTCGTCATCCCCAGGTTCCCCCTCCTCCTTTTGCTGCTGTTCCTCATTGCCGCCCTCCCTCCCCCCGTTTTCATTGTCCAACTGCACCGCTGGATGGAAGGGTTGCTGGCTGGAGGGGGAGGGCGGGGGGAAGGACATGTTACATCAAAAGCACATTGGCGAGATGTGCCGAAAGCCATTGGATATTTCTTGCTCGCACCCCACGTAGGACTCAGTGACTTCACCAATGAAAACGCCATTCGTCTTGTCCTCGTGGATCTTTAAACTGTCTTTCTTCGGGTCCAGAAGATCTCGGATACGCTCATTGTAAATCTCCACGATGGACACTTTTACCAGAAATTCGATGTGCTCGTCTGCGTGATAAATCCCGTTGAAAACCGACCAAACCATTCGTGGGATCACGCCCTGTTTGGTCTCGTCTTTCATGCTAGGACCCTCCATCGTGTAGGTCTTGCCTGACGCCGTCTGGCCGTACGCAAATACAGTACCATTGAAACCCCTCAGTACACCGTCAATGATGGGCTTCGCCGCATAGTCATAAACCTCTTTCTGTGAGGCATCTGGCTTGAACACACGGTCGAACGAATAACTTTGATCGGCACCAGTCATATACACGGTGGTGTTGCTGCCGAGAACCTCAAAACACGTCTTGCCATTGTGGCTCTGCTCATTTTGATTCTCTGGGCGAAACCTGCAGCAGACCTTGATGCTCTCCTCCTTGGGGTCATCATCGTCCGTTGCCATGCTCGTGCATCACAGGCTGCCTTGTCCACGCGTGTTTAGGTTGAGCACAAAAGCCTACTGATACTGATGGTGTTGAGGATGAGTGCTGTCAAGGAGGCGACCTCGCGCATGCTTGTTGAGACTGTCACGTCAGGCAAAAGATGAGAGCGGATCAAACCATCGCCTCGCGACAGCAGCATGCAGCTAAGACGAAGCGGCAGGAGCACTCTGCCCCCAAAGGGCACAACGCTCCACCCGAACACCGCCCCTACATCCCAGGCTCTATGCCCCCTCCCCTCAAGGAACAAAAACGGCATAAACATAATTGTTCGGAGGTCCGCGGGAATTTCTTGGATCGGCGCTAGACACACACACCCTCCATGGCGCGCGGAGCGCGCTTGGGGCGGCGCTGGAGGCGCCGCCAGGGGGACCCAACGCCGATCAGAGAAAGTCGAGCGGACCTCAGAGAAATTATGTTTATGCCGTTTCTTGTTCTTCGCGCGATGCTCACTGCCCCCTCCCTACGCAATGCATGCTCACAGCCGCCTCCGCGGGCTGCGCAGCCCGACGATCGCCCCCGGGCCCCGAGCCCCGTGCAGGCGGCGTCCGTGCCACACCCGTAGGCCTGCCAAACCAGCTGCCGCCCGGGGCACGTGGCCCCTCAGAGCGGGTCGTGCGTTGGAAAGCCGTTCGACCAGCGCCTCGCTTGTCTGGAGAGCCAGGGGGTGGTGATACGACGCAGAGGTACCAACAGGGATAGAGACAGCGGGGGGGAGACTTCCAGAGGCACCAGCACGAATGAAGCGAGGAGAGGAACTAGGTCCAACGTGCCCTGAAGCAGCGGCAGTGCACAGGCACCAGATGGACAAGAAGCTACAGAGAACTTCTCAGTAGCTTCGCTCTGGGATCACAGCAGCACAGATGGCCGACACGAGCGGAAGACTCGATACTCTACCTCTCTCCTCATCCCCACTCCCCATCTCTCCCTCCCCCTCTACTCCCCTCTTCCGTCTCCCGCTCTGCGACATGGCACTCTGGAGGTTCGTACGCT